GTTTACTTAGTACTTATTGTTTCTTTTTTAAAATATTTATTTTCACAGATTTTTGGACTCTATAAGGGATAACATTCAAGAACCCTTAAAGCGAGACAGTATTTTAACTAGGAAAGATATTATTAATATCAAGAACTCATTTAATCTTGGAATTAATGATGGTTGCAGACATGAGAAAGATGCAACCAGTGTTGACTTGTGGGTGAAAGAATGCATTGCCAGTGACAATAATCCAATTCATTTTTTTAAAAAACGGAGAAGCATGTTGGACTTAAATGATTTTTGCTTGGTTTTTATAAATGTAACACAGATGGAAATGTTGAAAAGGTTTGGTAGTAATATAGTTTGTATTGATGGTACACATGGTATGAATGCTTATGACTTTGAATTAACCATTATTTTAGTATTAGATGAATATGGTTAGGGGTTTCCAGTGGCTTTTTTATTTTCTAATAGAAAAGACACCTATATTTATGAGGTTTTTTTCTCTTGTGTTAAAAAAGCTATTGAGACTGACAACGATTTAACTTGTAATATATTCATGTCTGATGTAACTAATGTGTATTACAATACATGGATTAAAACTGTGGGTTTAGTTAATAAACAACTATATTGCTCTTGGAACATTGACAGAGCATGGCAGCAGAATTTGGCGAAAGTAAAAAGTTCAGATAAGAGGAAATGGGTGTATAAAACATTAAAACACCTTCAAACTTGTTTAGATGACAAAATATTTGAAAAAGATTTGCAGAACTTTTTAAATATATTAATTAGTGATGAAGATACTAAACATATGTATGATTATTTGGTAAGGAACTATTTTGAAAATAGATTTCAGTGGGCGTATTGTTACCGAAAAGGTTCAGGAATTAATACTAACATGCATTTAGAAAGCATGCATAAAGTTGTAAAATATATTTATTTAGAAGGAAAGAAAATTAAACGTTTGAATAAAGCAATTCATGATTTATTAAAATATTTACGAGATAAAGTTATAGACCTAATTATAAAATTAACAAAGGGGAAAAATAATGACCACTTAATGCAAATAAACAGTAGGCATAGAGCTGCATGTATTGATTCATGTGAAGTTAAAAAAATAGACAATAATACGTATGAAGTTTCTGACAGGAAAAATAATTTAGTTCAAATTGTTACTAAATTTAAAGAAGGTATTTGTTTTGGTTTGTAACTTTTGTAGAATATGTGTTCATATGTATCAGTGTTCTTGCATTGATTTTTTAATTAAAACAAATATTTGTAAACATATACATTATGTAGGCTTACTTAATAAAAATTATCATTTAACAAAAATTAATAAAACCAGCAAAGTAGAAGTTGATGAATTAGTAAACAATATTTCCCAAAAATCTTCATTAAAAAATTCATCAGAAATAATAGAGAAATACATGTCACACTTACAAAACAATTTAAGTACCTTACATTACACACCAGAAGAACATGAGCACATTATTAAAAATTTAAAAAGTTTAGTCAACTTTGGTTCTGAACACCGGTGGACCAGCCTTTGAACAATTATGTAAGCAAAGATGTAACACAAGTAAATAAAAAAATAGAAAAGCAAATATTTTTCTCTACAAAAAAAAAGAAAACTTTAAAATCAAAAAGGATCAGTAAGCCAAATTCTACCGAAATTAAAATAATTAAAGAAACATTAACAAATGATCTTTTTATTTCTAACTCCCTTCAAAATGATCATTTGTATTGTTAATGTATGTATATTCATAATTTGCTGATGTACTCAATATTTTTCCTGAAATATTTTTATATAGTAGTTACTAATAAAATAACATGTAGCCTACTATAATGAATCACCTGTATATAATTTTTCAAAATATCTAATTTTATTTTCTGTTTCAGGACTTTCTACAATTATTTTAAATTATCTTTGTTTTTGTTAACTTTTTCTTTTTAGATACAATTAGTCATATAACAGCGGTCCCTTCTCGACACACGTTTTGCTTTAAGAGCTTCATTCATGTGGTGAATTGTATGGAAAGTATTTCTATAAAGTAATTTTTATTATAATACTTTTTTAAATTATAATTCTACGTTGTGTAATTTTTTATACTGATGATGGTGGTGGAAGTTTTTCCGGGTTTTCCTCTCACCTGTAAAGCAAATGCGCCATCTTAGTTTTCTGAAAATCGCCCCCGGAGTGTCCATTTTTATTTAATAAATATTGTAAACCTCAATATAATATTCTAAAAAAATGCGTTTTATTAATAAATAATATTTAGTCATAATTTGATTTTATTTTCCTTTTTATAAAATAGTGAATAAATGTCGTTCGAGGAAGACCTTAATATAATGGTATGGGGAGTAAAGTAGTACCTATATCATTTGAAAGGTCCTACGCATTGATGTATAGATAATTCCTTTGAAATTGTGGATGTATGTATCACTACCACCTATATTCAACCTTTTTTCCATCGGGCCACATACATATGTTTGCTATGTGACATGGGCCGCAAAATTGTTGGTTAATAACTTTTTGGGCTATCCATTTAAAACTATAGTTAGTGTTCACCTGGTTTTACATTTACTTTCCATATAATGAACAAAATACAAAAATTAAACATATCCAAACGTTTATTTAAAAATGACTGAAATTTAGAAATTCATAGTTTTAAAAAGCACCTTCCTAAAAATTGTGTTTTGGGCCGCATATAAAAAGCTTGGCGGGCCTTATGTTAAGTATCCTGCTCTAGACGCTACCTCATGCATAATATTAAAAATTTATGGAAATTCAAGCTAGCGGATCCGCTGTTTTTTCGGACCTGGGCAAAGCTACAAAAAACCCACTAGGTCTTGTATGGTGCCCGCCACAGAGTGCCCGCTAGCTTGATAGAGCCGAGAAATGAGTGCTCCCATACTGTGTTACCTAATAGTGCTACGTTTGAAAAGTACCTCACGGAGCGGAGTAGAGCTAGTAAATTTTGTCACGTGATCATCGAGCTTATGTGGAATAAAAGAACGGCTATGGATTTGTTTGTGTTTGCCGTATCCGGTTTTCATTAAAATAACAAACGTAAACCTTTCTTTTAAATCAAATTTGATCTCTCGTCTCGTGGTTTTTTGCTGCGTTTGAGAATCCACATCGGATGCATTTTTTACATCTCGAGCGTTTTTTTATCCACATCGGACACATCTATCCCATTACATTTACGTATACTGAATCACGTGATCAAAGATTTTTTACATCATATGCTGCGTTTGAGAATCCACATCGGATGCATCTGAGATGTAAAAAAATCTTTGATCACGTGATTCAGTATACGTAAATGTAATGGGACAGATGTGTCCGATGTGGATAAAAAAACGCTCGAGATGTAAAAAATGCATCCGATGTGGATTCTCAAACGCAGCATCAGATGCATCGGATGTGGATTCTCAAACGCGGCATTTTGTTGCAAGTTGCCAAGTAAAGTAAATTTTTATCTGTGGTATTTTTCGCTTTCACTAGAAAATAAACCATGTTCTCATTTCTGTCTGACATGTTTTATAAATATTTTTTTAATAACCAAACACATATGAAAAAGAATAAACTGCAATACAAGAGACAACGAACGATGTCTATACATCTCAGAAAAGTACATCTACTTTGTCAATTGTCACAGAAATTCCATTTACTCCGGGGGACCTATTTTCAAACCGTGTGAGTACTCATTTCTCTCAAGATTCTCATCAGAAATGTCATACGTCAATGTGGAAACGCTGTTTTTAAAGGCCTCGAGGATTAAAATTCTTAGGAGGATATTAATTATCTCTAAATAAACCGTGAGAAACAATCAGTGAGTTTACACTGGCCCTTAGGACCCTAAAAATACTGTTTTACGTTGACGTATGACATTTCTCTCGAGAGAAATGAATTCTCTCGACTTTGAAAATAGCACCCCTGGGGACCTATTTTCAAACCGTGTGAGTACTCATTTCTCTCAAGATTCTCATCAGAAATGTCATACGTCAATGTGGAAACGCTGTTTTTAAAGGCCTCGAGGATTAAAATTCTTAGGAGGATATTAATTATCTCTAAATAAACCGTGAGAAACAATCAGTGAGTTCACACTGGCCCTTAGGACCCTAAAAATACTGTTTTACGTTGACGTATGACATTTCTCTCGAGAGAAATGAATTCTCTCGACTTTGAAAATAGCACCCCTGGGGACCTATTTTCAAAGTATGTGAGCACTCATTTCTCTCAAGATTCTCATCAGAAATGTCATACGTCAATGTGGAAACGCTGTTTTTAAAGGCCTCGAGGATTAAAAGTCTTAGGAGGATATTAATTATCTCTAAATAAACCGTGAGAAACAATCAGTGAGTTTACACTGGCCCTTAGGACCCTAAAAATACTGTTTTACGTTGACGTATGACATTTCTCTCGAGAGAAATGAATTCTCTCGACTTTGAAAATAGCACCCCTGGGGGCTATTTTCAAAGTATGGGAGCACTCATTTCTCTCAAGATTCTCATCAGAAATGTCATACGTCAATGTGGAAATGTTGTTTTTAAAGGCATCGAGGATTAAAATTCTTAGGAAGATTTTAATTCTCTCTAAGAGCCGATTCCACCGTTGTGTTAAACGGATATTAAAGTGACATTGTTAATGTAAAAATGTCATTTTAAACTTCGTTTAACACAACGGTGGAATCGGTCCTAAATAAACCGAGAGAAACAGTCAGTGAATTCACACTGGCCCTAAAAGCCCTAAAAATACGGTTTTACGTTGACGTATGACATTTCTCTTGAAGGCGAGTTCGGTCAGTCAGGGGCTGGAGCGGGACAAATTTTAGGGTGCTTTTAAATGACATTTAAGCGTGTTAATCGGACTAAACCGAACGCTAAAAGAGTCGTTTGGAGTTAAAAGTGTTAAAGGAGTTAAAGGAACGTGGCAAACCGAACGCAATGTGAGAGAAATGAATTCTCTCGAGTTTGAAAATAGCCCCCCGAAAGCTCTAAAATTTTACTCTGAGTAAATAGATCTTACTCGATTTACCAGCTCTGCATTAAAAGACCACGTAGCAGATCCCATCGAGAAGCCGCAGATGTATTAAAAGAACGACTTCGAGTAAAAAGAGCAAAATGAGGTAATTTTCAAACGCAGCATAGGTATAATTAGGCATTCCAAACAAATGAATTACCAGTGGGCAGGTTCGGTATATCTAAGGGTGGCGACATATGGTGTATTCTATCTACTTTACGTAAAATCATGAATAATGGATTACATTTAAATATTTTATGTCAAACACAATAAAAATAATATTTAAAAAACCCACCTATACATTTCTTCATAAATTGGCAGGCTTGGCAAGTACTATTTCGAATAAAAATAGCGTCCAAGTTGCAAGACTATGTCGCTACCCCCTTAAATATACAAGAATTTCCCACTGGTACCTATTGTTTGACAGGTCGTTGGAATGCCTAATACGAACCGCTTATGAAACGTCATGGAGGAAGAATAGTTATGAAACTTGTTTCTCTGAATTTAAAACATGTTTGACAACAATGAACACGGCCACTGATTTTAAAATAGAATTTGGAAAATATACCTATCAAACCCTTTTTTTTTTTTCAGAGTTTAGTTTCCGAATTAAATATGGCAGATTTAAAAGCGAATGAATACAAATCGGACTTACAAAAGTTAACAGATGAATTAGCTGAAATGAAAAAGAAATACATCACTGAGAAGAAAGCTCACAGGGCCCTGCGCATGGCATACGAATCTAGCCGAGAAATGAACCAAAACGGAGACAGCGAAGCCGGCGATGTAAAATTTACTGGTGGCGGTTTTCGAATGTCAGTCTCCAAAATTACTACAAAATAGTTTAAAGCAAAGTGTTTCGCACCAAAAATCCACTATACCTGAAGTTTTTAAAGATAATAAATCACGTAAGTACTGTAGTTTCTTCAAATTTACCATATTTTACGTGTTTTTTGTATTTGTTTGTTCCAGGCATGAAAATGTCAAAGGTTAAACTTGAAGTTTGCGTTGACAGTCTCGAGTCTGCTTTAGCCGCCATTAATGGTGGGGCTGATCGTCTTGAGTTGTGCTCTTCTCTCATAGATGGCGGTTTGACACCGACACCTGGTTTGCTAATTCAAATTCAAAATATGAATTGCAGAAATATTCCTGTGTATTGTCTTTTGCGCTGTAAGCCTGGAAACTTTATTTATAAAACTGAAGAAATCGAAATTATGAAAGAAGATGCCAGAATATTACGTAAAAACGGTGCAGATGGATTTGTTTTTGGAGCTCTTTCGGAAAACGGTGATGTTGATATGAAAATTTGTCGTGATATTATCAGAGTCTCTCACCCCTTACCTGTTACTTTTCACAGAGCGTTTGATTTTTGTAAACGTCCTACTATTGAAGTAGAAGTTATTATTGACTTGGGATTTCAACGTATTTTAACCAGTGGTAAGCAGCAAAACGCCCAATTAGGTGTTAAATTAATAAGAAAATTGGTAGAACAAGTTGGAAATAGAATCATTATAATGCCGGGAGGAGGCGTTAATAAAGAAAATATAAAATTCATCATGGAAAACACTGAAGCCACAGAAATACATGGTTCTTTCAAAGTTCCCAAAGATGAACCAGAAAAATCTGAAGATAACTGTGAAGCTGTTGTTGGAGAAAGAGAAGGGCCTATTTATGTGACTGATGAAAATACAGTTGCAGAAATTATTAATATTTTAAAGACTGCATAAATTGTTTCAAAAATATAAAATTGAGTAAATCATAAATATATTGTACTAAATTTTGTGTGTGTATTTTAAAATATTTGTTTCTGTGAAACTCATTTTGATGTAAAAATACAAATAGGTAAAACAAATTCGTATTTTTTCTGTAATAGATCTTTTTCTTTGCATCGAATGTGTAGCACTGAGCTACGCCACTGCTGAAAATATCGTTCCATCCATTTATGCTGCGTTTGAAAATCCACATCGGATGCATCCGAGATGTAGTAAATCTTTGATCACGTGATTCAGTATACGTAAATGTAATGGGACAGATGTGTCCGATGTGGATAAAAAAACGCTCGAGATGTAAAAAATGCATCCGATGTGGATTCTCAAACGCGGCAATAATTTGTATAAATGAAACGATATTTTCATGAGTAGCGTAGCTCAGTACTACCGTTGTATGAAGAAAATATAGTAGGATAATGCAACAGTAAAAAGTGTTGGATGCAATCTCGAGCGGCATCTAGTGACGATTTAATGAAGTAGTCAATTTTTAATGCTATGCAGATACGCCATCTACGTCTTCTTTTCGTTCAGGTACATGGCCTCTATCACCTACCTATTATAGTTAAAAACATCTTTATTTATTTAAAAATAACAATTTATGATAAAAGACATGAAAAATTAAACATAATAATGAAAATTTATTCCAGTTGACTAAACCGTACGAATAAAATTTTTGGATTAAGGTGATAAAAAGTGGTTAAGGACTTTGGTCAATATTTTGGTTATGTGCGGTTATGTCAAAATATATAAACAATAACAAAAGAATACCTAATAACAACTTATAACAATGTCCAATGTTTTAAATAAATTTAAAAGTTCCAAGTAGAAAACAAAAAAGGAATAAGCTTCTGAAAATGTTGCATGTAATCTAAGTACCTCTAATTGGACTAAGTGTTGGAAAAGTTTATAACCATAAAAATAGCTGAATATTTTTATAGTTTTCAAAATTTGAACAAGCTTTGCTACAAAATTTCATCAAAGCTATCAACAGTTTGCAAGATATTGAGTTAAGGAACAAGAAAATCACACTAATCAGGGAAAAATCAATCAACACTGGAAAACAAATTAAAAAAAATAGTCACAGGGATATATTAGTGACTTTCAAATGTATCTTGGCTGTTGATCATGAATATAAGAAAAAAATGTTCTCTCGGCTGGCTCTGAGTGTTGAAATAAATCACCTTGAAAGGAAGTTTTCAATAGCTCCACTCTTTAGGAATAGCTCAAGACGAAATCAATAGACCTACAAGTGGTCTATCTGTGGCAGACATATTCAGTTAGTTTTTATATTTCATTATGCAATGTTACAAGGTTCAGCAACTTGCCAAAATGGTTAAAATTTATTTCCAAAATCAGTGCTCTTATTTAGTACAGAATTCTATGAACGACACAATAATTATAAAGTCCTAACTTTGAACATAAAAGAAAATCTTATAAAAAAACATTTTTTTTTATATAATTTATCACTGTTTGGAAAAGTATATTTGTTTGTAAAATATTTGTATTTACAGTTATATTTAATCCAGGTTAAGTGTCAGTGCGCGAGTATAATGTTAAGTATGAACAAAATCCGCCCATTCTGTTTATATGTTTGGTTACCGACCCTAGTAGATAGGCTATTTGTTATTACTTTTAATTTAGATTTTGGATTAACGTTTTTGTATATGACTTGGCTGTTTAGTAATAAATGAAGTCAAAACTGTAACACGTGGTTTTATTCTGGAAAGTATTTTTAAATTGAATCACGCACGCCGTTCGAGTGAAAATGTTTTAAGTAGTTCAAAACAACAATCACTCATCTTTTTCATTGTTTATAGAATACAGCCTTTCAGTTAGCTCAGACAAAACTGATTAAATAAATAAATTAATGTCTTATTATTTTTTGAATTTTTTTTTATTTTGACTGGTTGACTATCTTAAAAATTAAAGCCAATCAAGCAAAACGTGAGTCACATTTCGCTTTTTTAGAAGAACAATAATGCAAGTGAAAATTAATGATTCCACAGAAATATCAAATTAAAGAAAATGTAATATGAAACTTACAACTAAGACGTTAAAGAAAAGTTTGGAAATAATCGATGGGGACTTCGAGATAGCAAATTTATTTTAGTTTTAGACAGAACTACTTTATTTTATTCGTTTTGAAACAATTGAAGATTTATAGGCCGGAAAAGCGATTTTAAACTGAATATTCAGTCCAATAGGCTCTCGACTGAAATCCTTTCCATTTTTAGAATATTATCTTTCAAATTCAACAATTTTATGTTTTGTTCCAACACGGATTTTAATAATAGATTTATAAATTGTTTTTGTTTATTTGAATGTTAAAAGTTCTTAAAACTAACTTTAACATATATTTCCCATGCTGGCGCTTAATGTTAAAATAATGAGACGATTAAACGAAAAAGGCTTACGAGAGCCAGTTGCCCTCTTTTGGTACACATTTGTACAAGGCAACTTTACAAATGTTTCCTCCTTTTTTCTCTTGTAGAAGATGGACACGCAGTGGAGCGCACAATGATGGTATTTTAAAAAGCCACGTCACATATTTGATTAGATAATTAACTTGATATAAGTGCCTTCAAGACTTAAGTCGTTAAGCATTCAAGTTTGGATTTCCCAACCCAGATTCAATTACATATAAAAACATTCTTTCTTATTTTGGAAAAAATATGAAAAATATAATTAATGCAATCTTTCTGCTAAATTTTGTAGTATTTTGATAACAGTTCAGAAAAAAATAGTAGTAGTCAGTAACTGATCTTTACGAAACCCAAAGTTGAGCACTTAACGTCCTGGAGCAATGTAAGTTTATGTCAATGTTAATTATCTAATCAAATATGTAACATTCGCATTTTCTATAATTTATTTTTTCTACACCCGTATTATAATAATGCACTTATATGCCCATAATCCGTTTCATAATGATACCCATTATGATACAGATTTTTCATTATGATACAGATTTTTAATCAATAGAAACCTACAATTTTTCAATCAAGCATGATGTTTGACGTTTGTCCTAAATTCCTATGTAATTGTTTTAGTTGTCAAAACGTATTAAATTTTCGTAGATAGCTAAACTTCGATAATTATAATATTAAAATGTCTGATATCAGCGATATAGAAGACTCCTCCACACATATCGGAGAAAGGAGAAAATGCAGTACAAAATATTTTGCCCCAAAAATCTGTGGTAATACCAATACCCAAGGTAATACCATTAATTACAATTTTGTAGAATTTTTTATAGAAATACGAGTAATTACTGTTATTGTGTTCAATGCCAATATAAATAGAATATTTATAGGTCTTGATTATTTATCGGGTGTAGAAAAAATAGCGTATGCAACTCTCATGTAATGGTTATTAAAACACTCGCATAAACCATACGAAACTCGCCTTTGGCTCGTTTCGTATCCCGGTTAATGCTCGTGTATTAATAACCATCATTACATGATCGTTGCATAATATACTATTTTTTAAGACGCCTTCGTTGAGAGCTTCATCATTGTAGGACATGCAGCAGACATGCAGCAAAGTATTTCCATGTACAAAAAAAAAAAAAACAATGAAAAATTTTTAATTTTGCCTTTCGAAAATAATACTCCTAAATGTGCCTACCATAAATTTGGTACTCGATTCGTTTTCAAATGGTGTCAAAAGTTGAAAACTGAAAATTAGTGGCTTACATGTTTTTATTACTTAGTATAATTTCACTAAACGTGTTTGGTATTATGTTATAAGTTTACCTAACAGCAAAAAAATCTGTTAGTTAAATTTTGTCAGTGCCGATTTTAGTAAAATTATATTGAATAAAATTATAACTACCTATATATTTACCCATTATTACTTTTTTAATTTTCAACTTAAAATCCTGTATTTCAGAACATTTTATCCAAACATTTTTTATTTTCGTCTATTCGTCTCATTTTGAACAATACTATTCAGTTGTTCATGTCCTATTCTTAATTTGATGATACCATTAAATAAAAGTGAATATAAATCATAGACATCATATTATATCTTTGATATAAATTAACAGCGTACAACTCAAGTTTAATTAACCATCAGCGATATATCCAAAATCCAACCACAATATAGAAAAACATGTTCCCTATTATAGTAAAATTCCACCCAATCTCAACTAATTCAATCTTTTTCAACCAAAAACTGGTTTATTTTATTATATCGATTATTTTCGCATTTTATGTGACCTTCAAATACCCTGTATTCTGGGCTTTTGTAATAATTTGAAATAGTAAATTGTGTAGGAATTTTGACAATGGATGTATGACGACACATTTCTAATGAGCAACCCGGGTATCCCGTTTCGCAACATTCGCGCGTCACAATCATTTTGGGACGTAGGAATACGGTCGCTAGGCAAGTTGTTGTTTGGGCAGAAGTCAACGAAAAAAGTCATTCTTTTAATCTCAATATTTTATATTCAAAACCCTGTATTAAATAATACAAAGAATAGTTGTTAATGTGTTCCTGTTCATGGTAATATACGAATACAAAAGTTCGTAGTTTTATTTTATTGACGCAGCTAGAGTTAAACCAAAACCGAGCTGTGGCCAGTTTAAGAACTGGCACTCGTGATGAGGATGCAGCGTTGCCAGATGAAAAAAGAAATATATGGTATCCGACACTTAAAAAAATGGTATTTTACTAACAAAAAATGGTATCTTGAATAATCTTGATAATACCAAATAATAAAGTTTTACACAAATAAAAATCAAAAGTATAATTTTTTTATTTTAAACTATGATTTAATTAACAAAGTATTATAAGAGCCGAGATAAGAGAACAGACGGTAGGGTCATTATAATCTTGCTGAACTGTAATAATAAAATTGTATGTACAAATCTTTTAGTAATTTATAACTGTAATCTGTAATCTATAGGAACATATATTAATTATACAATGAGGGCGTATAGGTCGGAATAAATTCGATAATTTTCTGTCTCATAGGAAGTATTTTAATAAAATCCTCTCACTTGTCAATTTTTTTTATTTTCAACTGCACATCTTTCGCTACAACGTCATCGATATTTTTTTAAATAAACCACATATTTTTCTTTTCATTTTTGAATTCCCCG